CGTGGAAGGGGGAGGGGGGCACGCAGCCGAGATCTCGGAAGGGCTCTCGCGCAGCCTTATCTTGGCGCCTCCCCGCAAGAAGCATTAAGGTGCGGAGCAATCTAAGTCTCCTTCTGGAGGGAGCCTGCGTTCATTGCGCTGCGAGATTGAAAGCCCTTCCCGTACACTCTGGACGCAACGGCGACGAGGCGAGGAACGAGACGCTTCCTCCAGCCGCACCGGGGCGCGGAGCGCTCGCTTACCGGCGGTTCCCCATCGAACAACTGCCACATTCAGGTAGTCACGGAGCGGATACGAGTGAGTTGACAAGGAAACGGCACGAAAGAACGTGGGCGGGCGGGACAGGGCGACCGGCAAGCGGCTAACGACACAAGGGGTAACAAGGGAGCCGGGAGCGCGGGGGGGCGGCGCTCGAGCTCATGTTGTCGAGCAAGGCCCGCCCCCTCCCCGCAAGGGACGACGTGCCGCCGCCAGAGAATCGGGCGCTGCGGGGAAACAAGGGAAGAGGAATGAAAGAACCGAATGACCACAAACAACAGCATTCGCCGGTATGTTGTAGGGATTTCCGGGCCAAATTTCCGGGTTCCGGAGTTTCCTTAAACACACAACGACTCATCGGATCATTGGCTGCGCTGACAGGGAGACGGGAGGAGGGACGGGCGGGCGCGCGGAGGAAGCCCCGCGATGGAGCCGGGTGTTCGGCACGCGAGCCCTGAGAAACTGCTCTCGGAAAGGGCTGACGCGATCAATATGGGCTCCTGCCTCCCATCGCTTTGTTTTGCATGCTTGTGATCGAAAAGAGGGGAGCGCGCGATTGCAAATCTCAACAATTCTTCCCAGCAATGTTTTTTTTCAATTTTCAACTCACTATAAAATACTTAACCGGCTTCGGTCAACAGTGAGAATTCTTATAAAGCAATTCATAAAAACACATATTTTCGTATCCTGTCATCGGTCTTAACCATTAGGGCCCGAAAGTCGATATTCTATTTAAAAGAAAGAAATAGGCATGCAATATTCCGCCCTAAAATTGGTTAAATTATATGATGGTATAAAAATGCAAAATGAATTAACAATATGCCTCAGCAATAATTTATTTTAACTGTATCTCTTTAACATAATACAAGAATACTCCAATTCCAACTACAATTTTGGTTAAAAAATCAAACAACTAAATAGTTCGGCCAGTTTTTGGATGAAATAAACAAGTTTTTTTGAAGATCTGAAAGAAGTTGAAAGTTTTTTAAGAGACCATTTATGATGTAAAATATTAAAACACCAATATAAAATATTACGCTTTATTGAGGAGTGCAACACCGGCAGCCAAAATACCCAACATATAGAAGTTGAAAACTATGTCTGTTGTATCTAGGGCGTTCTTGTTGCGCGGAAATAGGATCTTCTCTAGTTCAATAATCTAGTATGGCATTATAAGACAATAGTTTTATTGAAAACTACTCTCAATGCTGCCCTGAACGAGTGGTCCCTTTAGTATTACCGGATATTAATTTTTTTGAAATTAGATTTCTTTAAGAGGCAATTCAATCTTAACTTTGCCATTCCTTTTCCCACAGATCTTTGTCTCAATTCACAGTATCTCTATTTGGGATTAATTCTAGGGGAGTTGATGACAACGTCGACTTCACCAAATTAAGGAGGCAGCATCAGGTGAAAAAAATACTCAATGACTTTTGCGGACATAAAATCTGCATTGCACTTTCAAACAATCACACAATTGTAGATGTTGTCTTGTCTAAACTTTTCTGTATTAACTAAAAATACTTACGTCCTTTCTGAGTGGTATAATCACAGAGTTTTGCAATACGTACGTTTGAGTCGTCCATACGAATAGAAAATTTTCGTACATAAAAACCGCACAATATTTTTTGCGTTGAACCGCATTTTTCATTTTAATATTAGATTGTAAATTTCGAGCAACGATTCATTCTCGAACTGTTTTTTGTTTGAATATTTTTTTCTAAAACGGCTTGAAAACTAAGTATTACAACCGGAGAAAAATTTGACGTCCAATCAATGCTTCCATAATGTCGTGAATAATTTTTTAAAAGTAGTTGCCACGTCAATACTACAGTAAACGATAGTGATGCTTGAATTTCCTTTAGTTCTTGATTTTCTTTCTGCACATTATTCTTTATGTTGTTAAGGCATCGCGGAACGGATGTGCCGTCCTGCGTTCATCAAGTCTGTCCAATCGAAACACACTTAGGACGAGCAAGTGGTTTGAAGTTTCCATTATTTGGGGAAGCGTCTCATTACGTCACAGTCTATTCCAGAGCCAAATTACACGGAGCGTGAACCCAGACGCTGCTGAGAGAGGGTCACCGCCGAACAGGCCGAAACTCGCCAACGCGCATTACACAATCTGGCCCAGCGCATTGGGACAATGTCCCTATCGAGGATGGCAGCAATACTTCAGAAGTTACGTAGCGTAGGTGACCGTTAAACATTCATAGCCCTAAATATAAAATAAACAGCAGATTGACGCATTCTTCAATTCGCAAACATTCAGTATATTTATCGTTAGCGCGTCACAACAAAAATCGCGGAACACGCAGGGTGAATAAATGACGCCGAGCCCACTTCGCTTCCATACAGTTCTGTCCTCGGTTCACGGCCACGCACAAGCCCGACGGCTCCCGGATCGTCCGCCGTTCCGACCCTGCGCTCTCGGTTTTTGTGCGCCGCCATCAAGATTGCGACCCGCGCGCGCCAAGAACCACGGCGCGCACTGGCCGCCCCGCCGCTCCCGCACGCCTCACCTCGCGCTTCTTCCCGTACCGCCTTCTCGCAGCCCCCCCTCCTCGCAACCCTTCCTGCCGTACGAGCCACTCCCCGGCGGCCATGAAATGATACTGCATATCAAAGAGTGCTCCGTCCCCCACCCCACGCAAAAAACCTTTTTTTTTTTTTTTTTTCCCTCTCCGCCCCCCCGAAAGGGTCTTTTCCCCCTCGGCCGGGGGGGCAAAGTGTTCAAACCCCCCAGCCCGCCCGGGGGCCCCCCCAAAAAAAGGGGCCGTTTTTGCCCCCCCCCGCCCCCCAAAACCGGCCCCCCCCCGGGGCCCCCGGGGCCCGCCCCGCGCTCCACCCCGTCTCGCCAGCCACCAAGCCTCATCCGCTGCTCCTGCTGGAGACAGCGAAGAGAAATGCCAATCATTGACCTCCACGGCAATCCATCACCGCTCCGCAGACAATCCAACGCCGCAGCCGGTGGGGAGCCCGAGAGATTTTCACTTGCTCAAATGAAACCCGCGGACGCCGGCGGGCGCTCCCTCCTCCAACCGCCGCCCCCGTCCCCGCCCGGGGCCCGGCCCTGACCGGGACTTCAGAACGAGGCTGCTGTATCTGGCTTATTTATCGGAGCGCGTGCGGCCCAAGCCGCGCTACCGACGGAGGCTATTCAAGTTAGTCGACTTGTCTCGTTAATTGTGCGCCGGCGCCCGCGCCCATAGGTGGCCCCGCCGCCGCCGCCCGCCGCCCGTTCGCGTCGCCTTCGCCCGGCGGAGCCCCGCCCGTTCACGCGATGCGACGGCGGCGGCGCCCGCCGCGCACACGTCGTTTATATTAAAACCGAAAAGCTGCGCCGCGCACCCCCGGCGCGGAGCGGCTGTCTGTTCCGCTCTTAACGCCAGCGGTAAGGGCCACTGACAAGCGCCACCCAACGGGAGCTTGATTGGTGTGTAGCTTCTTTGAATTGACACGATTTTTGAATGAGGTTTCAAACTCGATTTCGCCAACCAAACTTCACCAAATTCCATGTGAGTTTTAAACTCCAAAAAGGAATGTTTGTTTGCGGGTAATTAAGGTCGTCTAGGTGCGGAGCTTTGCTAAACCCAGAGTTTTGAGAGGTCCCAAAAACCCGATCGATACGGGATTGTTGAAGGCGGTTAAAAAAAATTCCTTCGCTTAGGGAAAAGGAAAAGTAAAAGCCGCTTGAAACCCCAAATTCATCTCGTACCCCTCCACCGCCACCCACGAGATATTGGCGGCCACCCGCGGGGCGGCGAGGGGCCGCTCTTGGGTAGCCCCTGGGATCCATGTGGCTCGGGCGGCGGTTGACACCTTGCGAGCAGTGCAGCGTCGAAGGACCGTTACTGCCTCTTCAAGGTTGCAGGGTTTATGTCAGGGGGCTGTTAAATAAAGGTGTCGTTACCTTTTATGGTGTAGTAAGGTGCTTTGAAACTTCTGGTAATTATTGGTTTGTGGATTTGTGATTTGGGTGGTATAATACTATTCTTAAGGAATTTAAATTTGTTTGGTTTTATTATTCCGGAATATTACGTGAAATTGAACATTTGTGTAGTGAGATATTCCCTCCCTTTCAGAACATAACAAACAAATTTGTCTTCAGTTTCATTTTCTGCCAACGTAGCTACGACAGCCCAGTGTTTTGTAGCTAATTTATGGATAAAAGCTATGATTGTTTTATGGAGGTTAAGTAAATAAATCCTAGTCGACTTATTCTGATGTGGTATTGGTTCATGGAAGAGATGATGGAAGAGAAGTAGCAACTATATCAAGCAAAACTAATTAACTAGAAGATCTACGATTTTCTAGTGAATCGTTTTAAGTATTACGCAGTTGAATGGGTGAGTAAGCATTGGCATTGTGATTATTCAACATTGAAGAGTGGAGTTGTGTACGTCATATGTATTTCACAAGTGGAGAAGAATGATTCTTCAGAGTGAGATAACTTTTGCACTCATCGGGCCGGCGGAGTGTCATAAGTCGACGAAAGCAAGAGCTCTTTATGGCACTCGCCAGCGATGACAAACCCAGCGGCGAGGTACGCACGTGTGGCCGACAGCTGCCGTCCGCGTAGTACTTCGGTGATGGCGTACTTGAAGTTGCAACCTCCCCAAGTCGAGTAGGAAGCTCATTCGTCGCCTTGCATTGCTCTTTATCTCTTCATCCTCATTTTCTTTATGTTGTTTTGTGAATTATGCTTTGTTTAAAAGCTGGCGCCCACGCCGTGATGTACTAGCTGCGTCCAACTCGCCGGGGGTCACAATTTGCTTGTGGATCCTTGTTCGAATGTGGCAGTTTTTCAAGAAAGTGTAGTACAACGTACACAACACTCCTGACTTAATTGTTTATATATAATATTTTCAAATACATTTCTCAAATTCATTAATAAAATTCTTAGATTTTGAACCTGATCAAAGTGTTTATAGGATAGTAATATTAAATACTGATTGAAATTCTGATCAGGTTATAGGTTAGATACGTAGGGAGTATGATTTACAAAATGTCAAATATTTTAGAACTTAATTACAGAAACTTTCTATTCATTTAAATACATTAATCTTAAAAAACATAGGGTTTCGGTAAATGTAAATGAAGTTGCAAAGGATTGTCAGGTTATGTGTATCATTACTTGCCAATTTGAAGGGAAGTATTTGGGAGAGAGGTATATGACATAAGATTGTGATAGACGGTTGGACATAGGTTTTTGATAAATGTAACGTAAGTAGCAAATCATTATCAGGCAATACAAGTCAGAGAAGGCAAGTATTTGTGTGAGAGGTATACATGCTGTACATTAGGGAAGACGTAGGGTTTTGATACATATAAAGGGAGTAGCAAAGTATTATCAGGTGATGCAAGACAAAGAAGGCAAGTATTTGTATGAGAGGGGGGGTTGACATAGGTTTAGATAAAATAGTAAAGTACTGTCATGTTATGCTAAACAGAGAAGGCAAGTATTGGGAGGTATACATGTCTTACATTGGGGTGGACGGTTTGGTTATACATGGTGGGGATATAGGTTTTGGATACATGTGAACGAAGTAGCAAAGCATTGTCAGGCAAGTATTTGTGTGGGAGGGGTGGAGTGGGCGGTTGGACATAGGGTTTTGATACATGTGATTTGTCAGGTGACGCAAGACAGAGAAGGCACGTATTTGTGTGGGAGGTTTACATGCTATACATTGGGATGGACGGTTGAACATAGGTTTTTGATACACATGATTGAAGTAGCAAAGTATTGTCAGGTGATGTAAATCAGAGATGGCAAGTATTTGTGTGGGAGGAGTGGGGGGGTGGACTGTTAGGCATAGGTTTTTGATGCATGTGTAACGTATTAGCCAGCGTGCCTCATGGCATCTATTTGGGGACGCTTGGTAGAGGATTAGCCTAGCCACAGGAAGTAGGGTTTTTCCGTAAAGGGAAGAACGCGGAAACGGGAGACACAAGGCTTTGGGAGTCATCCGGCCTATTCACTGTTATAACAAGCTAGGGGGTGGCGTGACGTAGTAGGTCACGTGGGCCTCGCCTATATAACAGAGTGTACAGAACTAGTGGGTGGGTTCTGGAGAATGCGGGAGAACCTCGTGCGTGTGCACAAAACTTGGCGCCACGACGGTGCATATGCGAGCCAGGCTCGCGAGGCTCGAGTCACTAGTTGACGAAGCCTGCGGACTTTAGGTCCTTGGGTGACTGCGGTCACGGGGGAGCGATGCTGTGTGCGTGCTCCGCGGTGAAGAGTGGTTGAGTGCCACGATTCACGCCGATTCTCAATCGGATAAGATCGCTCCTGCGATCGAGGCAAACCAGCCGTTGGTGCGCCAGAACGGACTTTGTGTCCCAGCGTGATATCCGGTCACGGAAGCTAGGCTTTGTGCGCGCTTCAAAAGTAGGAGTGGCGAATGCCACAATCAAAACCATCTTCCATCGGGTTTGGATCAGGGGATAGTAGGTCTATCAGAGCTAGGGTGTAATTAGATTATTAAGTGTATATATTTGTTTTGTTTTCTTGTTAATAAATATATTGTTATACGAAAGCTCTGTGTCTGTGGTCGCTGTGAGTATCCATGACGTGACACATGTAAAGGCAGTAGCAAGGGGGGGGCGGTTGGACGCGCGGGCGTGGGCGTGGGCGTGGGCCGGGAGGCAGCCCCGGCCGGCAGCAGGGCGCGCGGGCGAGCGCCCTCTCTCGGGGCAGGACAGGGATGTGACCCCGGTGACGTGTAGTGTTCTCTCCTCACGCAGGGCCGAGCGGCGCGTACAGCCCCGACGGCGCCTCCATGGGCTACATGATGGACGGGCAGGCGCAGATGATGCACCGGCCCCCCGGCGACCCGAGCTTCCACAACGAGCACTACTACCCGCCGCAGTACTACGGCCACCTGTAGTGGGCCACCCGCCGCCCCGCGCGCACCCCCGCCCCCGCACGCAGGTAGGTAAAGCGACGCGACGCGACGCGCTCCATGGCGTGCATGAGACGGAGGCGCTTTGCTGCTGCATGGAGGTGGTGGGAAGGCTTTCACGCGCTGACAGCTACAGCGGGGCTGTTTCGGGGACTCGGCGTTCCTGCTGGTTCTTTCTCTAGTTTTCGTTTTGCATGCTCGCATGTACTGCTAATAAGTGATGATGCTGTGTTTATAATTTAAGAACTATCATTCTGTAGAAATAGAAAGCCTTATGTCGTGGATGACTAAGTATGGCCACTTTCTGGAAAACCAGAAAAAAAATCACGGAATTTCATTGCTTGGGAAAAAGACAAGGACTTTGCCAAAGAATTATTATAAGGAAGGAAACATTTTGAGATGATTATAGAACTAGATATTAGTTTTTTAACAGTAAAGCATTTTTTGCTCAGTTTCTATTTCTCGTGTTTTTTTTTTCAATTGTATTTTTATTATTGCAAAATCAAAGAGCTGACAATTTAGATTCAGACTCGCTTTAATATTTTCTTTAAACAGTGTGTAATATCCCACAAATCTTATCAGCAAAAAGTCTAAAAAATGTTCTGGAAAGTGGGATAAGACAGGGAAATTTATTTCATGCAGTTAGTGGCCACCGTGTTGTTAGTTTTGTGTATAAATTTGGACTAATTCTTAGCCGATAATGACAATTTATATCAAATGAAATGCGTTGACACTAAGAATGATGAAAAGTGTCTTAAGAAATTATATTGCACGCCTGATTTGTGTTTTTGTTTATGTTCGTACACCTTTTAACTGCATTCTATTTGTGTGAGAAACTAGTGATTTGTGTTGGAATTGATCTGTCTTTCTCGCTTTGTAATTTTTGCATTCATTTGTAGCACGTAAGCAAATTCTCTGCTTTAATCCAGTAGTGTTAAAAATTTTCTCGCTCATTGAAATTTAACAGCACGACTAAATTTGCTGGCGTAATACGCACTTCAAGCCTTTAATGAAGTTTCACACTCTTCACGGGAAGCTAAAACGGCTGGTTCTCTTATCCATATTTAAATTGTTGATTGTATAAAATATTCAAACACCATTCTGTACATTTTAAAATCGGCTTTATCTCCTTTCGAGAAAGTGAACGAAGAAAATGATCGTTTGTAAATGGGTGATTTGCTCAGAAATGAACGTGCGTGTTTTTAAAAGCAAATAAGTTCATGGGTGATCTGCGGCAGCGTGGCATTGCGTGGTCAATTGCGGTCCATTCTGGGCGCGGAGGGTGGAGGCCGGTGACGTGCTGCTGATTCGGCTCGGCGAGGGCATGCGTCACGCCGCCGCCTCCGGGATCGCACCCAGCAGCCCCATTTCGCGGGCGGGCGCGGCCCCGCTGTCGCGCGCGCGTCGTCGCTATTAGCCTAGTCCCAACGAAATCGATGGGGGCGCCCGCGCTGCGCGGCTGCAGTGGGCGGGGCGGGGCGGTGGAAGGGCCAGTCGGTACGGGCACGCGCGAGCGTGCGCGGGGGTGTTTGTACACGGCGCGCCGTGTGTGGGCGCGTGTAAACACGGCTTTAGGGCCCTCGCACGCGCGGGCGTGCGGGGGGCGGGGCGGGCGCGGCCGGGAGCCGAACAGGGCGGGCGGCGCGGGCGGGCGCAGTTCGGGGCCGTCGCTCAATCCCCGGTATGGCCGCGCGTCCCTGGGGAACGCCCCGCCCCGCCCCCGGGCGCCCCGCGGGATCTCCGCGCCGTCGTTCCCGCTATCGAACTAATCCGTAACGGGGCCCGCCCGGCGCTGCGGCTTTCGCCCGGGGCTGTTCGCTGCAAGTTCGCGAATCGGCCTGATGAGCCCGGCTCAACTCGAGGATTGAAGAGATCGCCGTGTGTAAATGAAAGTTTCACTCGCTCTCCCCCCCCCCCCGACTTGCTTCGCGCTTTCCCTTCAAATAGTAGTTGGGAAGTATGTCTTCTGTGCATACTCGTTAAATCCTTCTGATCATTTACGTTTTCAAATGCAGGATTCCGAAAGTTTTTACATTTTCTCTTTGGCGAATAAATATGTACGAGTATTACTTTCATTTAAAACCATTAATTTAACACTTGTTTCTAATGCGGGGACATTTGGATTTACAAGAAATTCTTTTCTTTAGCACAGCTGCTTTAAATTACAACTGAAAACTCGATGTGTAAAAGTTTTCAACGTGAAAGTTATTGTTTCCTTGATTTCAAGTAGGTTCAAGTAGTATTTTGAAACGACCAGGGAGTGGCATGTACGCAAAATGGGCTAGGTGGCATTAAACTTGATATACGTTCGTATTCGGATCCAATCCAATGACGTCATTTCACTTAGTTAACATACTCCTTATCGTTTACTATAAGTTTTCCATAAATGATAACACATGTGTACTAACATAACAGTAAACATTCACCGTTATTTAGGATTGCAAATGCATGAAACTAGCAAAAGGCAATGTTCCATTCTTATCTTCAGAACAGAAATCTGATTTTCCACATCTAGCTTTTAAGTCCGAATGAAAGTTGCACGTGAAGCCAAGTTTCCATCTTTTGTGGCTATTTTGACAAAATTGTATAAGAATGAATACTAAATCACGAAAAATTCACCACAATGTTTGAAGAGCAAATACCATTAAACGAAAAATAGCTTTATATCGCTTAATATTTTTTTGTCTGTCTTCTAAAGAGTATGTGTTTTGTTATTGAATTCGAAAACGTTTTCTGAAATGTGTTATAACCAGACCAAGCATCTCTCATTCGAATACGTACGTCATATATTTTTTGCGAGATACGATGGCAAAATTGATTGTAACGAATGGCACCAAATTACATGTTGAAACAACGGCAATACCTATTGCATACGTTGAGATCCATTATCACTTTCTAAAACATTTCTCCTTAGTCAAAATAAAATACAAAAGATGAATATATTATGCATGCACTAAAGTCAAATTGTAATTTTGATAGTGTAATATACTTAATCATCAAATTAAGTTTTCAATTCGTCTTGTAAATTGTAATTTTTCGTTCGAACTGAACTGCATATTAGAATATTATTCTTCAATATAACAATAGAATATCCTTAACTCTATTTGGTGTCAAAAAAATTCCAAGCATATTCTCATTATTTTCGGTAAACATGAAACATTTATTATACTAAAAACCTTTTAAGAAATAAAACAAAAAGAGAATTCTAAACAAGTGGGAAAACTCGTTTGGGAAGAGCGTTTGGAGGAACGCGCGTATCAGGTTTCCTCGGAAGCGGCCGCGGTGCTTTGCGCGCGGGGGGGGGGGGTCCTCGGGCGCCTATTGATCCGCGAGGGTTTTGTTTTCGAGCGGCGTTTGCGGCGTGCGCGCTCCTGCCGCATCCGGCTTTGCCCCCCGCCCTTTGAAAAATGCCCGCCCGCCCTCCCGGCCGCGGACGCTCGTATCGCCCCGAGCCCTCCGCGCCATGTTTATATGGATGGAGTATCTTCCGGCTTTGTAGTGCCTATCGCACGACGAATTGGATTCGCCTTTTGGCTCGCCTGGGGTGGATGATGTGTCTGGCCGGTTCGCATACTACATGTGGTTTTGCGGATGTAAAGAGTGGTGAATGTTGACTCTTGCTTGCACTATGCACGTACTAATAATTATTGTTTTCTTGGGGTGGACGATGTGTCCGACCGATTCGCATACTACATGTGGTTCTTGCGGACGTAAAGAACGGTGAATGTTGACTCTTTAGATTGCACTATGCACGTATAATTATACTGCAGTTTCCTTCGGGCCGGCTTTGTAGTATCTATCGCACGATTATTTGTATTCTCCTTTTAGCTCGCTTCGGGTGGATGATGTGTCAGGCCGATTCACATACTACATGTTGTTCTTGCTGACGTAAAGATCGGCGAATGTTAACTCTTTAGCTTGTACTATGCACGTACACATTAGTGTAGTTTCCTTGAGGTGGATGATGTGTCTGGCCGAATCGCACAATACATGTAGTTTCCTTGGGCTGGCTTTGTAGTAGCTATCGTACGACGAATGGTCTGGCCATATTGCATAGAACATGTGGTTTTTGCAATTGTAAATAACGGTAAATGTTTTCTCACATGTTAAAAGTTTCTATTATTTTTTTAAAAAACTTATCGTAAATAATGTGTGTGTTAACTAACTGATATTACGTTATTGGATTGGATTTGAATCGAAATGTAAATCAAGTTGTCTGTGACATTCACCGTACATTTCAAAAAATCTGAAGAAGTTCAATTGCAAGAAAAGAATAACTTTTGCTTGCTTGCGGCTGGCGCATGTAAATATAGTTTCTATGAGCCTGAAACAATTTCCACGACATTTAAAGAAGCTTATGTTTCTTTGAAATAATGGGTGGAAAAATAATATGCTTGCACACAACCGCTTACAATTACAGGCTCTATGTGCGCATTGCCGAGTCTATACTTTTTTGCGAACTAAGTACATCGAGTTCTTGCATTCTTTCAATAACAATCTCATTGTGTTAATAATGCATCGTTTACCAGGGAACCGCCCCATAATAATTCAGTGACAGTGATATTTTATGGTAACTTCTACGAATTTAATTCGCTTTTTGTTCGCGTGAGATATATGATGTGCGTTCCCATTTCGCTTGCTTGTGGTTTTTGCGAATGTAAATATCGGTGAATGTTTACTCTTTTGCTTGCATGTCCATGGCATGTCAATAGCTTCTGTTTCTTTGAGAAACATAACGGTAAATATGCTTGCGCACAACTGCTTATATTTACATGCTCTGCTCATGCTATTACAATCTATAATCCTTGGTAAGCTAATATCATTGAGTTCTTCCTCTCTTTCAATAACAATCTCCTTGTGTCAATAATGTTCAATAACAATCTCCTTGTGTCCGTTCCATAATAGTTCAGTGACGGTGGCTCGTAAGCTACGTTTTGGAAAGTCGGATACGTACTTTGTCTCACAAATTGATTTAAACCGGCTTGGAATTGAAGAGTCATTTTGTTCCGCCGTTCAAGTGTTCTTCATTAATCGAGTTCTGGCACCTATTATCTTGCATGGCGCTTTGGAGAGGCTTCATATTACAATCTTCCACCAACGGTTTAGAAAAATTAACATTCTGGAAATGAAACATTTCGCAAACGAAAACGAACGTTATTACATTGTGCGTGATTTTTCCTCCTCCCCAGCACGACACTCGCTTAATTAAAATTTATGACCCGTTTGATGTAGTGCTGCTGTAAAACGTACAGTAGACGCCTCCTCCCACTTTCCCTCCGCTGCCTCGTTGGTTTTTTTGTTTTTGTTTTTTTGTGAACGGGGCGCGTCGAGCCTCGGCGGCCAGCGACGCGCCCCGCCATACCGCGACGCCGCCATAACGCTTTGCCCCCCCTTCCAGCCGCAGCAGCACTGGTCACCGCGGCGACATCTGGCTGTACGGACATGTCACCGCCGACGCTGCCGCCGACGCCTGCGTTGCAGCCTAGGAGCTCGGAGTCGCCTCCTCGATAAATTGGCTCAAGAACGAGCCGTGACATCACTGCCTGCCTGACGTCACAACAGCCACCCGCGGTCGGTGACCGCCGCCGCCGCCGCCGCCGCCGCCGCCGTCGCCGCCGCGCCGTCTCCGGTCGCCAGGGGATATATGCTTATACACATACACGCACGTATACGATTAAATTATCTGGAGGCGGGCGGCGGCGTTGCGAGCGGCCAGTGAGCTGCGCCACGTGACGAGAAAGCTGTCGACGCCCACGTGCTGCGTTATCGTCGCGATGAGTTTGGCGTCGAAGCGAAGGCAGAAGGGAAAACGCCCGTTTTATTACGAATATAAACGAGAGAAATTTGCAGAATAAAATAATTTTTTCAAATTTATGTGATGATTCTTTGTACAAAAATATGTAATTGTATTTTCCCGTTGCAAAGAAGCGTGTTAAAAATGGGAACTTGTACAAAATAATTAAATAAACGTCTATGAATTACAAAAATACTTCGTTGCTGGAAGTTACGTCTTAGTGTACGAATGTTCTTTAAAAGAAACCAAGTATAAAATATTTGAGTGAAAGGGGAAAATTGAAATCACTTTTGAACAGTTAGTGTTTTTTTTTATTTTAAAGTACCGTGGTGTGGTGAAATTTAGTGGACTTCAGGGTAGTGCATGTTTTATGTTTGTGTGAAGAAGAATGAAAATTCCTAATCCCTTCAACTATTGGCCCGTTTTGCCTTTCCCCTATTCCCTTTGTCTAAGAAAAAAATATGTTTTGAAGATCTCCACATGAAAAGTTACGCAAACAAACCAAACAAGTTTGTTATGAAAGAGATGAACATTGTAGAAAAATTAATTATAGGAATTATAATATATATAATGTATCATATTAATTATGGATAGCGAAATGGTCCTGCCATGACTTTGCAAGAGACTAAAGCAAAAGACAGGTATGCAGGACGTTTCTTTTGTGAATTTTTTTCTGGTTTTCTCCCAACGTATGGAAGCGTATCTGTGGAACTTTGACCGAGGTGCAATTGGGAGATACCTCTTCAACAGTGATGTAACAAAGTACACGTAGTTCTAGAAGTCCTCACCCTGTCCCCACGCCCTCGAGTGTCCTCTCCTTCAACCTTTTCACGTTGGTGCCAGTATTCCTGTCCTCATCCCTACCTCAATTTGTAATGTGCGCCATTTCCCGTTCCTTAGCTCCTTTCAAATTTCATCCTACCTCACCGTTTTCCGTCATTTTAATAAAAACAGACGTACCATTGTGCAGAAATAATGTTTCAAAAGGTTGTGCTGATGTAAAGAAATCATAATTGTTATATCTGTTGTGATGATTTTCATTTTTGCTTTTTACATCCCTTCTTTGATTCCAATCACCATTATTCTTCCCTATCTTCCCTCCGCAAACCCCTGAAAAATTAATAAACAACAAAATATACGTAAGTTACTGAAACATAGATAATTATCGTAAAATCGAGTGTATGTATTATCGCATACATTATATAGACTTATTAATACTTCATACACAAGTATACATAAACATTGCAACTCAGGTGATTGTTTTTCTTTTCCCAAACCTCGAGAGTTCAAGCATGGGCAGACTGACTCAAGGAATAGCGAAGGAAAACATTGATCAACATGCCGTTATCCAAATACACCAAAAAGCTGGAACTTCCATAGTTTGGCGATTACTGCTCATACTAAGACTGGAGCCCCTTTATCCATACTTCATGTGCACACAGATATCTTAATCTTTCCTCTGTAGCTTTTGAAACAACAGCATCTTGTCTTCCTTACAAAGCTATTTCTTGAACAATATCCTTTGGCACAAGTATACGAGTAAATAAATTATTTTTTAGAAGTACCTTCACAAGTATTTGCAACGTCCATTGTGATCCTTTTGGTCTGTCTTTGCTTGAATATATTATACACAGAAAAATATAATTTTGGAAATGTTGGGACTGGGAAATTGTGACTGACTATAATTAGGCACAGCAATAGAGTATACCTGTACATGGAATCGTTCATACATAAAGTGTTCCGTACAATACATTTTGTTCTTGGAATATTTTCTCCTCTAAGCTCCTGTGGCATGATACCTTGCTTCTGTGTTTTGTAGTTCGTGAACAAAAAACAGCTCTCCTATGTCCTAGCCTGAAAAATAATGCCTTTTAACCCGATAGAATTTTATGGCATATAGAAACTTGCACATAATTACCGAAAAGCAATAACCCAAAGGACTGTTACTAACTGTGCTACTTCTTTAATAACATTGTAATTAGAGCTTCTCATTAAGACAATAAAAAACCTATTGTCTCCAGATATGCCTCATTTCCAAAAGCTTTGTCATGCCACAGAAGTTTCTCTCTGTATTTCAGATATTATGCTTGTGAATCATTACTGTAATAACTCTCCAAATTCTTTTCTTTGTATCTTTCTCCTTTTTGTCATTCGACATCATGGTAACTGTGCTCTTCGGATTTTGGATTGGACACCAGGATATCGAGCCATAGCCGCAACCCCGCTCATTTCGTATACGTTTCCGAAGCCTTGCGTTTGCTGTGTGTCGGTGTTGTTGATTGGGTCACGACTGTTCCCGCGCTGGGCGGGCGAGGGCGCGTGCGCGGGCGCGGGCGCGGGCGCCGCAGGCGCGTGGATGCACGCCCGCGGCGCTCCGTCGCTCGCCGGGCTGCGTCGGCGCGCGTTCGGCCGCCTTCGGCTGCCTTCGGGCCCAGGAGCGGCGTGGCGCACTAAACAGAGAGAGCAGCCCCCGACCAACGCCGCGACCGCGCCGCCGCCGCGGGCGCGCCCCTGAGACGCACACCGCCAACCACGCGGGGACGAACGAACCGCCCTCGAATCGATTGCTTCTTTTCGAGAGCGGCGTCGCGACGTAGAATGAGCGAGAAGGGAAAAGGTCAAGAGTACGATTAAGACAGAGAACCAATGCTATACACAGTGCGTGTGTTTTAAATGAAGAAAAAATGAAATACAGAATTAATGTACGATAGAAAATGGTGTGGATCACAGCCGCGTGACTCAATCGGCGGATGTATAATGTAATACCTATAACTCTCTAATCGAGAAATGTGGAAGTAAATTATAGAAATGTTTTAGAATTCGTGATAAAAGAATTTCGGTGTGACGAATTGAACCAACGAAGAGTGGGTTTTCCTCCTTATTGTGACTCGGAAGCGAATGACCTCAATTGCTCGATTCTCCTGCGTCACTTAAAATGATGAAAGAATAATTGAGAACATTATAATCATCAATTTAAAAGAAAATTCCATAAATATCCTCTAAGCTTTGAGAAAAATACGACAAATAACAGGAGATTTTCATTATATTTCCCTTATCTAATTGTATAACCGGAATGCAGAAAAGATCCGTCTTGTGAAAAATCAGTGCCATCTTTTCACACACTGTATCTTATGAAAAGTGAGAGGTGAGGATTAATTTGGTGTTGCTGCTTAAATAACAAAAAACAGGGCGACAAAAATGAAATACCTCACAAATAAACGAAAATAAACTGGTAACAATGTTCCTCTGTAATTAATTCTTTTTTTCTCAAAAACATGAGCAATTAAAGCTACATATTGTGTAACTGGTTTTTCTTATTCTGGGTTTTTATTAAATTGCCCTATACCTTAGAAAACTTCTCATACTTCTGTTAATACTGTGTTTAATCTTTCCTATTATTCCTTCAACATTGCTAAACCACTTAATCTATTCTGTCCTGCCAAATTCTTTGCTTTCGCGCAATTGTCTATCCTTTCCTTAATGTGTATGGACCCCTTTCAGATAACATCAGCAGAAGCAATGGCTTGGAACCAATAGACATCATCTGATTCGTTTCCCTATTTACAGACATTTGAGAGATCACTCGGGAAGGGGGAGAACCAAGTGGAGAAACGTGGCAGAGAAAAATGCAGATGCCTTGTTTTAATCAATTTCCTACAGTGAAAATTCTCGCTGCTAGCTATCAATGATTCATGATTACTTTCACAATTGTAATTTCTTAATTATAAACTAAAAAACATGAAACAGTGACGACAAGCCCAAATATGTACAACAGTTTCACCATTTCTTCGACTCTATCACATTTTCAATTCAACAGTTATTACAAATCTTGGATAGCAAAAGAAAAAAACACTCCATTGTGGGTTGGTACAGGTTTAACTCGACACATTTATGTGTAAACCCTGAATGCCGGAACCCGGATAGGCATCTGTAACACGCCAGCCCGCAAACAGTAGCCTTTCCTCCACCCGAATCCCACCCCCGCCCCCCACAAAACGACAATGAGGATAAAAATTACGTTCGGCCATTGGATTTTCAGAAAGCAATCCCCCTCCTTCCCCCTCCCGGAAGGAGCTCGCACACTAGAACAAAGGCGACACTGGCGAACTGATTACCGCTTTCCGCTCGCACGGCAGCGCGCTGCGCGAGCAGCCCTTTTGAAAGCCGGCGCAGCGAATCGATGTGCGAGTTTAAATAAGAGGAAGATAGGCGACCGCGCCTGCCGCGCCTCTGCCCGCCCGCTCACAATGGATGGCCGGGGCGGCGCGTGCGGCGATGCGCAAATTTCCCACCGCACGTCCACGCGGCTTCACCGCAAACTGATGCGCGCCATAAACCGAACCGCGGCACGCCGGCCGGCGCTGCCGCCGCTGCGCGTCACCCCTCTGGCGCGGGACGGTTTGTGTTGACCCCCCACCCCACCCTGCCACGCCCCCTCCCCTCCCCTCCCCTCCCGCGGGGTTCTTCCGGCGCGAGCCTCTGCACATGAGCGGGATGGGAATGGAAATAACTCGAGCTGGTACATATGTCACGTAATGATTTGTTTATTATTACATTTCTTATTTTACTAATAAGACATGTTAATTTCACTATAACACACTACTCGTCATATACCTGAAAAATGAAATTCATGAAGATCGCGCATAATCTATTTGTATAGCAGTTCGTTGTGCTTTCGGATTTTAATTTCATTCCAACTTAAAGAAAGACGTATAATTCTAGTAGAATATTTAACAATGTAACGCGTTTCTGCTCATCTCTGAAAAAATAATAAATTTACTTTAGTAGGACATTTAAGGAGAATAAATAGGGAGCATTCACATAATTGTAGATTACAAAGAAATAATAATGATAATACAATGTTTGTTTGTTCAAAGAAGTGTAAAATAGTAATGCTGCGCATTACCTCTCATCTTGCGGGTTGAATGAAATTAAACTAGTACTGGAACCTACGGCTTTATACTTACTTATTTGTACGCTTTAGTACTGAAATATAGTACTTTCTCACATTTGTAAAGGATCCGCAGTATATTACCACATGAACATACAAAAAGGTTTTCAACCAGAAAAATAAATGCCACGCCAAATCTCCAACTCAAATCCATTGAGTCAACTATCTGTTCGCTACCGTGACACAACGCAATCGCTGTGACGTACTCAGTTGGGCCGACTGTTACAAATCTAATTGTTTCTCCAATTATATCCAATAAGCAATTTTCAAAAATTCAGAGAGATCGACGAAAATTACGCGATTCTGTAAGCCCCAAGTGTAGGTCATTATCTACAATGAGTGAAATACTAATATATAAGTTATGGAAAAAATATTTCAAATTTTATTCATAAAATAATTAAAACTTACTTAGTTTTGAGAAATTCACATAAAATTACTTAGTTTTGAGAAATTCTACAAAATCTTCTTTCAAGATCTGTCTTTAAAGAATAGAATTTCATTAGGGAAAACCTTTACGCTATCTGAGAGCAAAGTTTAATCTAAGTAATTGGAGTCATTTTTGAGAAAATTTTGAAATATTTTTTGGTGTTTCATTTAAAGTAATCTCAAAAACTCCAATTATCTGTTTCACAATCAGAGAGCCTTAATTTAATTTAAATTGATCGAGGAATATCAATTTTGGAAAAAATGAGCTAAACAGTTTAGGCGTTAGCGTTGACCATTGACACGTTAGGCCGTCAATTAAGTTTTCTGTATCAAGAACTTACAAAAATTTTTTCGGGCTACACAATGTTTACTTAGAAAAGGTAATATACTACGCAATCGCATATGAACTAGATTTATCAACTTTTTCGTTACGAGAGCCCAGCAATAGGAGTGTTTCTGCCGATAATTCGCTGTTTTCCGGTCCACAATTACAATACTTTCTCTTCTCATTAAGTACGGGTGGGAAAGTGAAAAGAAGTGAAGTTAAATAGTAATAGCTCGCCCTTGCTAGACATTAGTAATGGTTTCTTCCACTATTTCCGACCAATATCTCCTGTACAGTTGGTACACCTCTCGGTTTGCACGACTCTGGCTGTGAACTTTAGGCGCTAAAGGGACTTACAGGGGTGAGCTGTATCCCAGCGCATTCTATGTCGATCATCCAATTGAGAAACTGACATTTCTCCACACACCTCACGCCGAGCTTGGCTTCTGCCCAGGAGGTAGCCCGTCCGCCCATCTCCTTGCTTCTCCCGTTCTAGGAATTAGAGCACCAATTGTTCAATGCGCGCAAGAAGCTCTAGTGTCAGGTAAGTACGACAGATTAGGAAATGAATAAGCGTTTGAGAATCACGAGGGACACATAATCCACAAAGAACCGAAAACCTCCGAGCCTCCCGGGGTTCAAACTCACAACCCCAGTGAAGCGTACTTGGTTGCTCCGTTCCTAACCTCTGTGCCACCAGGCCAGTGAACATCAAGCAATCTCCAAAATTTTAATATATCCCAATGAAATACTCGGAAGGTAGCTGGATACTAAAATAACCATCGGAGACTGTAACTATGATATTCCTGAGGAAGAAAATGTAACAATTCACTCAAACACATGACACAAACTTAAGTGCAAAGTTGATTGCGTATGTTTTATCCTTTTCCAATTTCCTATATTCATTAATATGAGCGTGAGAATTTAATTGAGTTCAGGGTTGAAGTGCAATGGAAAAACTTTGAAACAAATTATTATAGTGATAGAGAATATTCTCTAATCTTTACATTCAATTTACTGCTAGAGAAATGATTGTATTGGGACGCCAAAAGTGGATATTTCCCTTCTGTTATTTTGACTCCCCATTACGTTTCTTTGTTTTTCGGTTGATATAACATTAACTATGAAAAATTATTCCTGATACAGAATTTACGTAGATATACGTAAATAAAGAGGTTTATTTCCATTATTTAAACCAAGTAGGATTAACTTTAGTATAATCTTTTGTCATATAGTGTCAGGGACAGAATCGCACTTTCTTAACGTCTTGGTTGAGGAAAATTCTAATCTCCAAGGTTTGCGCATATAAAATATTTTAAGAGTCGATTTCTCCAAATCCCATTTAGAAACAGGAACCTATCGGTAAAAATACATCATTTCCAGAGATTGTGAAATTCGCTCGTTAATTAAATATTTCTTCCGTGATGTTGCAGTTATATTAAAGAACACCGTAGAACGATTCACTGACTTTCAATAAATTAACTCAAATTATTTCTGGAAATTAATAACAGTTATAATCTATCCTCGCAATACATTATAACATATTACTTTAAGAAAAGTGTGCAATTTCATAAAAGACGTTCACATGATTTGAATATTTAACATGAGTATATCTTGTAAGATGCAGATTCGCATACAAAACAATTAAAGTGAGCAATTGCAG